TTAGAAAATGATTATAAGTGCAGATTTTAAGAAAAATCATTTATGTATTGTGGTTTAATAAGGATCAAGAAAAATAGACTGAATAGATGTTTATTCAGGGGGAAATAACTTACAACAGCGAGAGAACACTGGTCCCAAGGATGCCTCAGGATGCTCTTTTGTCCCCATCTCAGGGGGCCCCTCCCCAGACCTAGTTCCCCCACATAAACACCGCCCCTGTCCCCACCCCAATGGCTATAGTCAGTGTCACAGGTGTGGACGAAGTGAATGTCTCACTACATTTATGCTTATATTGTTCTGTATGTACTCCAAAGAGGGCACCAGCACTCATTATGGATGGTTGTGAGCCGCCATGTGGTTGCTGGGAATTGAACTCACCATTTCTCCAGGCCCAGCAAGCTCTTTGGTATGCTAATGAGCACCACAGTTAGCCTGATGTCCCCAGTTTCCTTTAAACCTGGCAACAAGTACTTAAAATACAAAGTTTTCTTGAGTTATAGCAACATAAAACTTTGAGAGAATAAATTATTGTATTCAAAACCATTGCAAGTTCTCTTGAGTTACACCAACAAAGCACTTTCCAGAAGGAACAAGTTATTGATTGTATTTTCCTTTTTCAGAACTCAGTCTGATCTCAAATCTGCTCTTCCTGCTAAGTACTTTCAAGTGCTGGGATTACAGATTTGCACTAGGGAAACGTGGCCAAGCTATCAATTTATAAAACTACAAAGTACTTACAAATTTTGGAGGCTTCTAAGAAAGTAAGAATCGCCAATTAAACAACTTACACTACTTAGGATTGCAAAGCTTTACTTTTGGGGTGTGCAAAGCCTGACAGCTTGAGTCTGATTGCAGGGAATTACACGAGAAGTTGTTCTCTAACCTCCCTTTTCTTACTGCCATGACAGCAACAAGCATGCTTTGAGAACTTCTAGGAAAAAAAAAAAAAAAAAAAAAATTGAAGCTAATTTCAGAATCATCGAATTTTGGAGTTATTTGTCCATTTCTGATAGTTAATTCCTAATCATCATTCTTAAAATTCCTCCACAGTAATTCCCTTTCTGTAAATTTCCAAATTGGGGGTGACTGTGTGGTAACAACAGTTCAAATAATTTTTTTTGTAAGTTTCAAGGATTTCTCTCTTCCTTTCAAAAACTAAATATATGACATCTATAATAAAAAATAAAACCCTTTCATTCTTAATGAAATTTCTTACCCATAGTAAACCAGTGATAAACCTAATGAATCTATATGTACTGTTTCATAATCTTAATTTACTTACCAACAATTTGTTCATTTATTTACCTATACTTTTAAAAGGAGCACAGTATGTTAATTAACTTGCTACTAAAAACTTTACAAATGCTTCCAATTGTTCCATTATGAACAAAACAAACACACAGGAACCACTTGAGATAATTTATTTACTTAGCTATAATTCTAAAACTATACTACTGTAGCTGATTGACAGCTATCTGAGAAATAAATTATTAGCTATCTCACTTGTTCAAATACATTTGACTGTTAGGATTTAATGTTTAGGCTAGTGTTTTACACTTCTGGATGTATTAATTTGGTACCTTAAAGTTAAAATTTTCATTTATATTGCTGGTGATTTTAAAAGACTAATACATGGAAGTAAAGGAGGTACAAATATTGACAGAAATGTCAATAACTCTCAGATGTAGTAAGGTAAGGAAAAAGGTTTAAGAACTATATAAAAGCTAGCATGGCAGCACTTTCCTATGATTATTCATTCAGAGGCTGACTCTGGGGGACTACAATTTAGAGAGCTATCTGTTGGAGCAAAATGGTGTCTCAAAAATGAAATCTAACCCACCACACATCCAGATAGCGATTTGTTAGGCCCATGAGAAGATTAGTTAACAGCATAGTAATGAAGAAATAATTGGCACACAATAGAGAGTTGGCTTAAATTTAAAAATGTACCAGAGACAGGAGACTGGCAAGATGGCATATCTAGTAAAGGTATTTGCTGTATGTCCTTGGTGACCCGAGTTTGATTCCTGGAACCTTTGTAAACACTGATGGAGAGAGCTGAGTTTGTCCCCTGATGTCCACATAGATGCTGTTGTATAATGCCCACACTTAATAATGATGATAAGGAGAGGGGGAGCTTTAAAATAAAGTTTAGAATTAATCATCTGAGAAATAAAATGTAACAATTTAGGATGACGCAAGATCATGATGTAGACTTTGAATTTCATTTTGTAGGAAAGAGCAGTGTTTTAGAAAAATTAAATCAGTGGTATATATTGATAAATTTTTTAGATTAAAACAGATGCTGGAAGGGGGGTGAGAAATAACCAGGAACTTAACTACAGCAGCAAATCAAAAGTGACTGCTGACAAACGAGAACAAATTTAATGTTTCTTGGAACCATTTACTTTGATTGTTGCTAAACTGATAAAGAGGAAAAACAATGAGAACCAACAAAGTACTATTAATAAAAATCTGGTTAATAACCCATTTAAATGCCCCCCCCCCCAAGGTCTTAGATGGAGGTTCTTGAGTCAGAATAAAAACATTCTCTTCTGGATCAGCAGTTAAAAGCACTGGCTGCTCTTCCAGAGGACCTGGGTTCAATTTCCAGCACCCACATGACACCCTCACAAGCACATCCATACAGGCAAGCCAAACACCCATCACATAAAATAAATCTACAAAACAAGCAAACAAAAAATTCTCTTCCATTTGCAAATTCCAAACAGGCAGGGACATGTACAATTGTCTAGGTTTTATTAAAGTACTAACAACTATTTTTATATTAAGTTAAAAACTTCAAGTGTAACACCAGACTTCTAAACATATCACAAGTTTTATTTTATGTTTATGTGGTGGTGGCACATGCAGGTCCCAGCTTGAATGTGGTCAGAGGTTACTTGTTTGTTCTTTTTCTACTTTGTAGGTAGGTCCGGGGGACTGGATTCACTCAGGTCATCAGGCTCAGCTTTGCAGGAATCTTTAGTAACAGAGCCATCGCACCGGTCCCAATTTCTAAAATGTTAAAATGTTAATTATAACTCTCCATTTTCTTCCATACACATATTATGATGTTCCTATACACACCACAAATGTGTTAGTTTTAAATATCTTTACATTTGTTATTTCAACTACTCAGAGGCTCTTCTCCTGGATCTTATATGGTTTTACTATTCAAATGTCATCTGTAGGAGACATCCCTCAAGTATACTGTTAAAAGTATATTTGAAAATATACTTCCAAATAGCAATAACTATACCACTTATATCTTGCCTACTTCCTTTTTTCCCACAGAACATAGAGTGTCAATTTTTTTCTTCATCCCAGTATTCATCCATTATCCACGTACTGTAAACTCCATGAAAGTAAGGGACTTTATCTGTTTGGTTTTGTTATATGATCTTCAATATTGAAATAGAATTAAGAATCTCTCAGTACATAAATGGTACAAATCTCACTATATCACCTACGCCATACTTGAACTCATAGAATACTGCTTGCTCTGTCCTGAGAGCCAACATAAAAGGTGTGTGCAACCATACCTGGCTATTTTTGTTTTGTTTTGGCTTAATGAGATAAAGCTGGGAATACATGTGGGTACCACATCTGGCTTCAAATATAGTTTTAGTGCTATTTGACAAACATCTAACATTTTTATGCCACCACAAATGAAAATATAAAACAATGATATGAAAACCTTTAATTATTAAAATCCACAAATTCTCTAAAGAAACAATTTAAATTTTCTCTTACATTTTAGCACAATACTAGACTTCATTGATTCACACTAAAATGACATTTTAAAATTTGCATATGGAAAGTTTACATATAAGCATTCCTAAATATGAGACTAAATGACAAAGTAAATGAAACCATAATTTTCTAGAGATATTATTCACCAAAGGCAGATGTGGGAGTGGGGAGAAACCTCATTAAAAGATGATCCACAGGACACATTAATAAATTAAGGCTGAGGAACACTCAGCACAAAAATAACTTCAATAGTTTTCTTTTTTGGTATTGGGATATTTTAGCAATAGAGCCCTTTTGGAGGTCGTGAGTTCAACTCACAAAAACTAGAACAAACAAACAAGGAGAATAGAGAAAAGTGAAATGCCTGGGATATATTTTATAAATACACAAGAACACAATCCCTTAAGTTTCTGATGGAGGAACAATCTGTGTATTAAAGGGTTCAAGCTACTAGAAATAAACATGTTCTAACCTATTCTCTAACTCTTTGGTAGATGGAAATGTATTGATGATGATCATTCATTTCTTCTCCAAGATATGTAAGTAGCTAAATTACCTATTCCCCCCCCATCTCTATTAGATGAGAGACCACACACACACACACACACACACACACACACACAAAACTGTTTTCCACAAAGGGAATAATATCCCTCTACAAAAGGGGAAAAACCCAAACAAACCAAAAACAGAAAAATCAATTTTAAATAAAATATTAACTTGTAAAACTGTGTGTGCAAAACTTTAGAGCACAACAGAATACCCATAAGTAATTATTTTTTCTTTGAAAGATGGCTATGTTATTATTAATGTAAATGGGTACAACTTTAACTTTACTACCTCTGATGATATTTTATGATCTAACAAATAAAGTTTGCCTGAAGATCAGAGTGCAAAGCTAGCCACACTAGTTAGCCATAGAGGCTAGGCAGTGGTGGTACACATCTTTAATCCCAGCACTTTGAAGATAGAAGCAGAGGGATCTCTGTTAGTTCAAGGTCACCCTGGGTCACACAAGACTGAATTTGTTTAAAAGAGACATAGAGTTCACTCTGATCCCAGCCTTTAATCCTAGCACTAAGGAAGTGGAGACAGGAGTGATATAGCTGGGCAGAGAGAGGATTATAAGGTAGGGGGTGACAAGAGAGAGGTGCAGGCTCAGAACAGTGCAATTTAGTCACCACCACCTAGTGCTTAGTGGCTTTTCTACTGCTGTGAAGAGAGACACCATGACCAAGACAAACTTATACAAGAAAGTGTTTAATTTGGGGCTTACAATTTCAAAGGGTTCAAGTCCTTGACCATTACAACAGCAAGCAGACAGGCAGGGCACTGGAACAGTAACTGATAACTCACATCTTTATGTGCAAGTAGCAGCCAGAGAGGGAGCTAACCAGGAAGTGTTGTTTCAGACTTCTAAGCCAGGCCCCTAGTGACATACTTCCTCCTATGCCACACACCTGTACTTCCAAACAGTTTCACCAAGTGAGGACCAAATATTCAAACACATGAACTATGGGGGCATTCTTGTTCAAAAACCACAAGTCCCCCTCCTCCCACCTTAATCAAGAGTCAAACGAACAGCACATGTTACATCACCAGGTTACAACCTAGTCTGATTACACTGAGATTTCTTTGGTTCTTGTTGGTTTGTTGCTTAGGCTGGGCTGGAGCTGAGGATGACTTTCAACTTCTGATGGTCTTCTCATCTTCACTTCCCAAGGGCTGATATCATAGGGATGTGTCACTATTTTCTTTCTGGCCATATTATTTAAAAATTTAACCATTTTTACAACTGAAAACAAGAATGAAAAATTTAATGTAAATATACTAGCTACAAACAATCCTTCTTTACATCTGAAATATAAATATGTATTGGCAAATGTAAAATGCAGGGTTCTTTTTCTTGACATTTAGAAGAAATCTTAACCTCAGACAAGTTTAGGAATATATGTGTGTGTGTGTGTAATCTAATTTCAGGATTGTTGTGAAAAAATTAGATAAACTATAAATTCATCCAGTGAATACTTCTAAGCATATTTTAATAGAACAAATTATGTATCTGTAATTATTTCATAATTGTTTTTCATATAATGATTAAGATGAAAAAGGTTGAGTCCAATGATTAAGACAAAACTTTATTATGATTTCTATGGATATCAGAGAATAATTTTATAGAGTTGGTTCTCTCATTTTGCCTTTATGTTGATTACAAGGATCAAGCTCCAATTGCTATGCTTACTTCAATGGCCCACAGTGATTTGCAAAAGAACCAACATTATTCTCATGTAAAGGGCAGTATTTAAATTCTAGCCACAATATGAATCTTTTACTACTTTAGTTATAGACAGCCCCACCAGAAAAAAGTGATTGCTCTTAAATGTGGTTCTTATAATTAATTAAATAAGTTAAAACTAACTTAATTTTACCTTTAAATTACAACTGAGTAGTAGTTCCTTTAAATACAATTCCCGAAAAATACCTCTGAAATACTTTTAGCATTTTCACAGCATATTAGTTAGAATCCATTAAGAACCTTTAATCTGAAAAGGTAAGATGTTCCTTGTAAGAAGTAATCACAGTTAACCTTTTTTGTAAAGATTTATTTATTATGTATGCAGTGTTCTGTCTGCCTGTATACCTGCAGGCCAGAAGACGGCACCAGATCTCAGTATGAATGGTTGTGAGCCATCATGTGGTTGTTGGGAACTGAACTCAGGATCTCTGGAAGAACAGGCAGTGCTCTTAACTGCTGAGCCATCCCCCTAGATGACAGTTAACATTTTTAATAATGACTTAAACACTACAAATAAGGAATACAGAATAGTAAAAAGGACATTTACTTTGAACTGTAATTAAAATATTCTTGACTATATTTACATTTATAAAATTAATAACTACACTACAACTTGGCTTAAATCTGAAGTTAAATATTAATAAGATACAGAAGCCCTTCATACTTTAACTTGTTAAAAAACTTCTAAGAGCTAGGCAGTGGTGGAGCACATCTTTTAATCACAGCACTCAGCAGGCAGGGGCAGGCAGATCTCTGTTAGTTGGAGGCTAGCCTGGCCTACAGGGTAAGTGCAAGGACAGGCTCCAAAGAAACAGAAAAACTCAAACTAAAACAAACAAAACTTCTGCTAAGAACTTAAGAAAATGTTTTAGTAAAAATAAGAACAGTAGATTATTATAAAGTTAGAAGATGATGGGAGATGTCATTCTGTATAGGTTTCTCATACTGGTTTAATTAATAAAGCACTGTTGGCCAATAGGAAAGCAAGATAGGAGGGACTAGGAGACAAGGAGGAAAGAGGAAGTAGTACGAAGGAGTCAAGATGGAGAGACTGGAGAGAACAGAATCGCCATTCGTCCGCTCTCGGTAAGACCACGTGGAAATACATAGAAATGGGTTAATACTTTAGACAGAGCTAGCCAATAAGAAACTAGTACCTGGCCAATAGCATTATATCAAATATAGAGTCTCAGTGTGTTATTTGGGACTGGTGCGGTGGCGGGACAAGACTGGCAGCGGGTGGAAAAACCTTACTCCTTACAAGAAGACATAAGAACCTAGTATGTCATCTTTTGGAAACTAAACTTTGGTTTGTTTCCTTAGTTACCCAATGAAAAAATTGGTCATCTCTAAGGATTTTCCTACATTTAAAGTTTAGAAATTCAACACATTCTTCCTTCATTTAAAATGAAATATTTAGACACATTATACTAAAGATTATCTTCTAAATTCTGCTCAAAATCTGTGATATTTTATACTTTATCTAAGATAAAACTTCAAGAGGAAATTAATATTTATTTTTCTATCTTAAGTAATAATTTGAATTCAAATTCATATAGAATATAAAACCAAATTAAAATAAATTCTATGGTGCTTCTAAACTGTTTCAAGAAACTTTTAATGGAAATGTTGGGGAAACAGGACTTGTCTGTAATATACTCTACCACTGTAGACTCTAGAAGACATCCAACAATTAAAATATATGCTTAAACCACAGCTGCAGTCAGTGTTCCATTTGTGGACTCAACCAACCACAGATTCAAAACATTTCAGCGGCCAGGTGTGGTGGCACACAATTCTAGTTAAAGCACTTGCGAGGCAGTGGCAGGAGGATCTATGTGAATTCCAGGCCAGCCTTGTCCATATAGTAAGGCCCTGTCTCAAAACATCAAACCAATTAAACAAAAAATTTTTGGGTGGGGTGCTGCATTCACAAAGTTTTTTTTTTTTTTCTTGTCATTATGGGAATAAGTAATAAAATTTACCTGTGTAACATAACATTGCATTACACATTAAAAACAATTAGAGATGAATTTAAGTATAAGGGTGTATGCATTGGTCACAAGCAGACATTATACCATTTTTTCTTTGAGACAGGGTTTCTCTATGTAGGACATTATATCATTTTACATAGGGCACTCAAGCATTTGCAAGTCTGAGTATCCATAGAAGTCCTAGAACCAATTCCTCATAGACACAGAAATAATTACATTCTTTTTTTTTTTTTTTTTTTTTTGGAGACAGATTCTCATATAGGTCTTACACTTGCTCTGACTCTCCTGCTTCCACTTGCCGATTACAGATGTGAACCTGGTATGTAGTGGTGAGGCTGGAACCCATGGTTTTGTGCATGCTAGGCAGAAGCATTCTAACAACTGAGCTACATTCTCATCCCCCAGTTACACAGTATTAACAGATATAATACAAGTAGAAAGTTATTAATAACATTATTACAGAATTATACTAAACAAAATCACCAATATAGAAAATGCAATCATAAAAACTTGAAAACACACCAGTAACATCCATATACATCAAATTACAGTTGTAGAGTGTGGCCAACCTTACTTCAGCAGCACAGTTAATACTGGAGATAATTTAGAATGTTAACGCCAATATTTACGTGCTGCTAAGGCACTGCTGACACTGCTATCACAGAAGCTATAAATAAAAAACACGTTTTTTTCTTCAGAAGATCAGATCCTTGTATTTTGAGGCAGCACAATATGGCCTGCACCATTTCAAAATCCACAAACCATTATGTGCTGCTACTTTACTCCAAGGTTTTTTGTTTTTGAAAACACAATAGCACCTAAATAGTAATTTACAAAGAGTCTTTAGGAAAAAGCAGAATACATAAAATTCATGTTTAAAAATGTAACACTGGTAAATGCATAATTTTATAAGCTTTGAGTAAAATAAAATTTTTGCTCATATCATAAATTTAAAAGCTTACTGTATACTTAATATAATGCTGTAATTTATAGTGATCATAAAAATGAGGAAAGCAAGCCATTTTCTGGGCAAACTTAATAAGAGTATGATTTATTAACTAGACAAATTTTTGAATGTATTTAACAAATGAAAAGGTTATAAAGGGTGGTTTTTACCTTATTAAGAGCAGCACACATTTCAAAATTCAAGTCTTACGATAAGGCTTTATGTTTAAGGAAAAACATGAACTCAGTTTCAAGAAATTTATACCAACAAAATACTTAGAAAAAGATTAAAAGTGACTCATACTAAATGTAATTATACATGTATGAATATATACACACACACACAAACCCTCAAAATATATAGCTCCTCCCAATCCATACATGAACACTCAAGATTTATCTCCATATTGAAATGGTTACTGTAAATTCAGTGTCATTTAATATATATTACCCAGAATAAAATGTCAATTTGGTTTCCTAAAAGGATATAGAACAGGAATCCTGTAGCTCAAGCCTGAATGACCATTTGTTTGTTTCTCATTAAAATGGCTATTTCTTTAAAGGCATACTGTTTTCTATTATAGGACAAATTTGTACAAACAAACCATGAAATCTTCATCTCTAGTTTTTTATAGGCATCACAGTCATATTCCATTCATTCTAATTGTTTATAAGCAGTCATATTCCATTAAGTTTTATATTTCCTCTACTATTAAAATGTAGATAGATCACTTGTGTATATAAGCAACGATTGTTTCACCTATTTCTCTATTATTGCCTGAAGTTTTAATACAATTTTACACATCTATTCAAGATATCTACACATCAGTTTATCAGTGTCCTAGTTTGCTTTCCATTGTTGTGAAAAATAACTTGGGAAAGAAAGGGTTTCTTTCACCTTCAACCTAATGTCCATAATGAATTCATGGCAGGAACTCAAATCAGGAACAGGGAGGCAAGAACCAAAATCAAAGGCCACAAAGAATGCTGCATACTGGCTTGCACTGCCTGCTTTCTTATATCAACCAGGATCATCTATCAGCCTAGGGGTGAGGGTGCCCACAGCGGGTTGGGCCCTCCCAAATCAAGCATTAATCAAGAAAATGCTCACTAGACATGTCCACAGGACAATCCAATGACGGCAATTACTCAACAGAGATTCCCCTTTCTAAATGTCAGTTTGTCAGTTGCCAAACTAATCAGCAATCAGTTACATGAAATTTTAGGTTCTCCTCAAACCTAATATCTCATTAAATTTTAAACATACATGGCTATTTTACTGAACACCTACTCATGTTACCATTACCCCAACTGTTATACTATAGTTGGTATAGTAAATAGTGCACAAAATATAGTTTCTCTTTAGAAACGATTTAGAATGACCTAAATTATAAGACACAACATCATGAACTAACTGTTCAAAACCACATGCTGATTTAAGGCAATGGTAACTCATCCTTATAATCCCAGCATTTGGAAGATAAAGGAATGATGATCTAGATTTCAAGGTCATCCTTGGCTATGTAGTAAATCTGAAGGCATCCTGAGCTATGAGACACTGTTAAACATACACAAAGACATAGTCCAACCCCCATTACTGTTTTTTTTTGGTCCCTGTATAGTACATATATACATTAAATGATTATTCCAATGTCAAATGAATGATTTCAAAATCAAGTCAATTTTTTGTGTGTAAACTAAAAACTAGTCAAACATATGTAACAAAATTTAGCACTTTATGTATTTTAAGGATTTCGGTTTTTGTGGCATTAAGAACATTCATCACCACCAACCCTATTACTTGAAATTCTTCACTTCCAACTGATATATCTTACTCATTAAATACCAACTGTCCATTCCGCCTACTCTTAGTCCTAAGAAATTAACTTTCTGTCTTGTCTCCTGAATTTGCCATATCCTACAATTGAAGTAGAGAGGAATTTATACTTTAGTACTTCACTTATACAAATTTTAAAAGATTTACTCTAAAGTCATGTGTAGAATCTTTCTGTAATCCCTGAACAAAAAGGTATGTTACCATAACCAACTTAGCATGCTCCACCTAGTGCATGAGATTGAACTGAGGTCTTCTCGCTTACACAGCAAGCGCTTCATTACTCTCCAGCTCTACTTAAAACAAAAAACAAACAAAACCCTTTATTTATGCATGTGTGTGCCTGTTTGTCTGTATATGTGCCATGTATGGGCAGGCAGTGCCTGAGTTCAGAATAAGATGTCTAATCCCTTTCAACTAAAGTTATAGGAGGTTGTGAGCCAGCTGATGTTATGTGCTGGGAAGGAAAGCTGGGTCTTTTACAAGAGCAGAAAGTTCTCTATACTTCTAAGCTATTTCTTCAACCCCCCTTTTCTTTTTACATGTCTATTTATGACTTAATATATGTATGCATCACTGTAGACAGTGGAAGTCAAGAGAACTTCAGGCTTTTGCCTCATCTTCTACCTTGCTTGAGATAGGATCTTTGTTTGATGTTACCATGTGCTACTGCATTTGGCTTATGTGGGTTCTTGGGATCCAAACTCAGGTCCTCTGTGTAGCAAGCATTTTGTTCGTTGAGGCACTTCCTCAGCCCCCACTTTTATTCTCATTTTGGTGCTTTATAGAATTTTTCTTTGTAATTTGTTCTTTTGAGACAGGATCCTACTCAGTTAACCTAGGGTGGCCTGAAACTTGCAATCCTCCTGCATCAGCACTGCTCCCCAACCTGGCACTATAGGCATGAGATACCATCTCTGGGGCAGACAGTACTTCTCTATGCCTCAGTTTCCTGTGGGCATGTTTAAATTAATTTGTGTGTGGGTATGAATGTCACCACCATGTACATGTATGGAGGTTAAAGGATGTCTTGTGGGAGCTGGCTCTTACTTTTCTACTAATTAATTAGTTAGTTAGTTAGTTAATGCATCTTTGAGACAGAGCTTCTCTGTGTAGCCCTGGTTGTCCTGGAACTTGCTCTATAGACCAAACTGGTCTCAAACTCACAGAGATCTGCCTGCCTCTGTCTCCTTGTGCCTCTGGGATTAAAGGCATTCGCCATCACAGGCCAGCAACTTTAAGTTATCTTAAGGGAGTTTCAGTTTTAGACTTTTTGTTTAGCCTTTGACTTATTTGGAATGAATTTTTATGCATGGTAATAAGGTCTAACTTCAGTCTTTCTTGTATGATTACCTAGTTTTCCTGATGCTAAAGGCTGCCTTTCCCCTTTAATATGGGACTTACTCTATCTTTTGAAAAAACCATTTTTATTATTTCATTTCCTAACAAATTTTCCATTCAAACTGGACTAGGTTTGTAGCAATCTACTTTTAGTATATCCCATGCCATTTCTTCATTCCTAAACCTCAGGTCACTTGAAATATCATACTGTCTGTCTTTAAGCCCTCAAATCTGTTTTCAAGAGTGCCAGCTAAAAGAAAAGGTATGAAAATTACCTTTCTATATATAGAATTCTATATTAGAATAAAGATAAAAGTTACTAAAAAGATTTTATTCTGTATCTTTATACAATGGCTATAATTTCAAAGTCAGTGGTTAAGGACCCTTAATTTTTTTTTTTTTTTTTTTTTTTTTTACTGGTTTTTGATATAGTTCAGCGTTTTACTTATGTTCTTAGAAGGAAAAATAAGTCATTCTAAATGGTGAGGTAAAAATAGATAAATGTCTTGCTTAAGAAGCCAATTTCACTATGCATATGAATATATGGGAATCTTCACCTGAAATTAATATTCTTTGTATACGAAAACAGAATAGCAATTAAAAAAGATAGAGAAAACCACAAATTGTCCAATTTCCCCCTTCAACTCTCTTTTGTTTCCATTCATATTTTTATTTAGAAATATTTACTTTTTTATCTTGTAAGACTTCTAATAATTCATCTTATTTCCCTAAAGTGTTGCACTTCACAAAATATTTAGAGATTTTAGGGATGTTGTCTAAACTATAACATCATTTTGACTGAACGATGGGTCAGTTTTTGAATAATAAGCAATAGATATGCTTGGTAGAACATAATGATAGAATACAGACTTTGAGGGCAGAACCCTAGCATTCTCTCCTTTATGAGCCCTGATCATGGCTAAGTTACTCTAGTACACTGATCCTGCACTGGTTCCTCTTGGATAAAATGTGGCAAATGCCTATCTCAATTAAATCGTATACCTTAAACCTATATGAGCACATTTAATAGTGACTACATGATGATTAAATGCCTGTTCAACCTAATTCTTAGTAGGGTCTGCATCTCTGACAAACTCAGTGTTTCTGGCAACTATACATATACTAACACAGTTAAGGACAAAGAGTTAGTGTTGTTGCCTACTCCAGAAATAACCTATTTATAAGAGATCTTTTACCTTGGCCACATTGACTGCATTGGCTCTACTTCTACAGATGGTTTTACAGGGCTGCTATAAAATGCCGCAGGATAAAGTGGAGCACAACTGATGCTGTGAGAATACATAGAAAGACCTGGGTATGTTCAGCCTTCAGAAAAGAGGTAAGAACTATTTTGGGACACTGATCGAGGGCCAAAGAATAAGGTTCTTTAAGTAAGAACTTGGAGGGAACATACACATCACTAAAATTCAGACCTGTGGTATAACGTTTTTAACTTTTCTTCCCCTCCTTCTCTCCCTCCAGACAAGATATCACGCAACTGAGGCTGTAGTCAGTTTCACTAAGTTGTCAAGGATGACCTTAATTCTTGTTTCTCCTCTCTTCCTCCTCCAGCCACTACTGCTGGGTTATAGGTGTGTACCACTATAACCAATTTCCTTGGTGCTGGACATCAGAGGCAGAGTGTCATGCTTTCTAGATAAGCGCTCTACCAACTGAGTTACATTCCCAGCCCCCATTTTAACTTTTCTAATATTCAAAGTAACTTCCTAAATTCTAGTATTTGAATCTTTGTAGAAACTGGAAAGTTATTCAGAATGGGAAAAATGACTCCATAATTTTGCATTAAAACTTAAATTTCAAGGTTGCCATTTTGTTGAGAGTAGAAATATCATTAAGGCTTAAGTAAAAAGGAACAGATTTAAAATAATCATTCTGTTAAACACTTATACATCAAATATTAAAGGCTTTGAGGACAAAGAATGTCTGGCATTCAGTTAAAACTTTTCTAATTCTAAAAAATAATACTTTTCCAACAACTAAAAAATTAGAGAACACTGTGAACTTTTTTGATGCCTATGAATTATAAAGCAATATATAACTTTCAGAAATTAGATTTTTACATACTAAATTAAAAGTGAGTCATCTTACCAGTAGGTATATTAAGGCATTCTTTTCTTCCCTTAATAATGACAGTATCTGTTACCTTTCTCCACTAATCATTCAACTCCAAATAAGTAACTACTTTTTTTATGTTTGATATGTACTCCTTTTAAAGAAACTACTTAAGATAGGTAAAATTTCCTCCTTCATAGCATAACAAACAGAAATTTATACTACAAAGATATTTATATCACAGATAAATTAAAAATAACAAAATTTTCAGTCCACCTATTACATATAATTAAAAAATTAATTTTTACTAAAAGCAAGAAATTTCATCACTTGCCTTATCACTGATTCTAACTTCCCCAATAATGAAAACATTCCTTTTCCCTCTCTAGTATTAACCCCTATATTTATATTATTTATAATTCAACAATTGACAATACTTTAAAAACTGATATGATTATGTATCACTATTTTCTTGCTAACCTGATGTATTTCCTACATGGAAAGTAGTTCTATCTTTTTTTTTCCTAGCATAACATTGAGTAGGTTTCCTGAATTAGGAAGTAACTGGTTTCTGTTGTCATTAGATTACAACATTATCAATACTAACAGGACTGAATGTGAATTTTTCTTCCTGTTTTGTTTCCTTATTAGGTCAATATCTTAATATCTTTTCAGTTTCATATTTAAAAACATGGGAGTAATACTTCTTTTTCATTTTGTTTTATAAGACTGAGTTTCTCTAGGTTGCTCTGGAACTCACAAAGATAGCCTGCCTCTCTCTGCCTCCCCAGAGGTCTGCACCACCACCTCCTGGCATAATATTCTTAAATGAGGACAACAATGTGTACTCCAAGATTTTTAAACTATCAATGATATGTATTTTTAAATTAATTTTTCTGTGAATGTATATGTGCAAGTATGCCTTGAGTGGTTGGGTGCCTGCAGAAAAGAAAATGATGGTTTCCCTTGAGCTAAAAATACAGTTTATTGTGAGCTGCCTGATGTAGACTGCTGTAGGTTCTGGGAACCAGATATGGGCCCTCTAGAAGAACAGCAAGTGCTCTTAACCAAACCAAATCTCTCTGGCCTCTCAACTAATATATTTTAAATTTGCACAACATAAATAGATAATTTAAGTTTGGGTAGCTAAAATGCAATGGAGGAAATACAAGCATTTACAAAAAGAAAAAGCAAGGAGAAAAAGCAAGAAAACTGTGACATTTTGAATTTCTTAAGCAACAAAAATTTTCTATTAGAACTTTAAAAAATGAGTACAAAATACTATTATTCAAATGAGAGCACTTAACATATTGATACCATTATGCCACTTCTAGGACATCCATATTCCACAGATGAAGAGCTAAGAAGGCAAAGTGCTTGTCTAGGTTCCTTTAAGGCCCTGGTTCCATCTCTAGCACTGCAAGAAAACAGAAATTTAAAAAGAAAAAAGCCACCACCATCAACAAAAACCCTTCTTATACACTGTCTGTAAAAGTAGTAACAAAAGAAATTATTGTGTTAAAAGAAAATATGGTATTAAATGAACAGTAAAAGAGAAAGGTAGATACTGGCACATAAAACCACACGGAGCTGTGTAAAGTGGGTCACAGCTGGAGCCTACAGTAGGAGTTAGTGTCAAGTGTAAAACCATCATTTTTAGTAACTTAAGTTGAAGGAAGGCTGAAGCTGGCTTCTAAGGGTTCAATTAACATGAAATCTCCTGGACTGTATTCGATTCTTTAGGGTTTTGCAAACGTTTTCATTCTAATTTTCCAGAGATAAAAATATGAAAGAAAATTTTTACAAGAAAAAACAAAACCAAAAAACAACTTGTAGCATCTTGTTACTAGTAAAACAAAGTTTTCAGTATTTATCTTACCTCCCCTGTGAGTCCCTCCCCCCCCCTGGGGGAGGGGGACATTCTCACTACTGAGTTGAACAGCTGATCATCTGTGATCATAAGGTCATCTAACATACATGGGTTTTGGATTACTAATGCAATGTGTGAAACAATGGAAGAGAAGCATCTGAAGCACTAACTTTCATTTAAATGGGGTCACCTAACCCTTAACAATATTAGGAACAGAAACTTGAGTTTGAGTTTTTTTTTGAGAGATGCAAAAATAGCTCAAGAAGTAGATGGAAATGAATCTTTTGTTAATTTCAGAGACTGGAATACTTTCATAGAAATAATTATATGTGTGCATTTAACATGACTTTTTAATATGCCAGTTTTTCTACAGATATATTAATTTCAGCTAACCTGTTAGAATCATTCTGTTGCAATTTATAATTTTCCAAATTTAAATGTATCAGGAAAAATTTTACTGTGTGCAAGTGAGTGTGTGTGTGTATGTGTGTGTGCAGAAAGAAAAGGGATTGCCTTTGCTGTTTTTTCTTTCTCCCAAAGTTTTAAAATCTAAATGTAAAAAGCTTCTCACAAAGAAGTCTCAATTTAATGCAAAAACAAAAAATAATGCTCAAGAGGCTACTTTCAATCTATAAAACTGTAAGATCAATAAACTTGAATAATGATGATAAAAAATACCATTTACTAGGGCTGGAGAAATGGGCTCCTTGGTTAAGAGTACTTCTTGCTCTTGTAGATACCAGAGTTTCCAGCACCCATATGGTGGCTCAGAACAAATACCCCAGAATTCCAATTCCAGGGGATCCATTGCCCTCTTTTGGCCTCCATTGACACCATGCACAGTACAAATATATACATGCAATCAAACACACATAAAATAAAAACATGTAAGCCTTAAAAAAGGATCTTATTTGTAAACTTTGGAGAAATGATTTAATATTGTGATTCTTAGACTTGGAGAAAAACAGGGCCTTTCTATAAAATACTTCTCACATTAGTAAAGTTGCCTAAGGTAATGAAATCATTCTTGTTCTAAACTAAATTAAAATCAAACATCAATGAATAGAGAGCCAAGGGGAGATTTATCCTATTCTAGGATAGACAGAAAAGTAATTAGAAGTGAATGGAAACATGACAGCAAACAGTAAGTTTTTGTAGGAATGGTGGTAGCTCACTGAGGAGGGAACTGTAATACTTACAAAATAATTGTTGGCGTTCTTAGAGGGCTGTTCTAGTAATACCTTCATTTTATCATTGTTAAACCTAGGAAAAAAGAGTGAAGACTTTAAAATTTGAGCTTATTATATATGCAAAACCATTTTCAATTGATGTCAGCAGTCATTGTTTCCTGATTCTTACACATTACATAATAATCACAGATTACAACTTACCAGCAGTAGTGTTTACAATTTTAATCCAATTCATTGTCATTAAGTCTGTAAAACGTGCTTTCCCAGTAAAACTACCTTCTGAATATTTAAAACTCAAGTATGTCAAATGTAGCTAACACTGCTGCTTTAGTGTCTAACTTGAAGTATGCGGAGTTCTGAGGACATCACAAATTTCAAGTATTTCACATTAATTCAAGAGCACATCACAAGATATTTTCCTTTTTTCTCTTCATTCACAGCACACCCACACACACAAAGTCTACACACTTCCCTATTACAAGAACTCTAATACAATGTATAAAACCACAAAGAGCTTACAATTTATTGGAAAAAATAATCAGTGGGAATAAAACATTATGCTATGACCACAACAAAAGAAAATATTGTTCAGAAATTGCCCGAAAGGAATAGTGATAAAGGAATTGTTTCTATGGCTGCACTTTACTTCTAAGAGAAACATAGCAGGAAAATATACTATAGACCAGTCTTTAAAACATCCTAGTAACTTCAGTTAGTCAACAACATTTTATTTTTGTGAGACAATATTTACATACTGTGTTCCTATTATTTGAGACAGTCTTATTAATATGGTTCAGCCTTAAATTTGGGATCCTCTTGCCTCATCTTCCCAAGTGCTGGAATTACTGGACTATGCAAACATAACTACATACAAGTACTTATTGAAAGAATACACAAAATCTTTATGCTTTTACCAGAACATTCCAAGTGTATATTTCTTGTAGATTACTTTCTCATAAAAAGGTACATTTCTTTTTATTTCAGAATTCACCAATCCTCCCTTCAATAATGCTAACATGAAATCTCCACCCCAAACCTACCTCTACTGAACTCTTGAACAATATCCCAATTATATATAAGATCCTGATGTACCAGGCCCTGATTCTCATTCTTTTAAGATGTAACTACAATCTTGAATTTGGTATTTATTTCCTATGTTTGTTTTTTTATACTATAACTACAAATTTAACTGTTATATACACAATTTTCCTCAAAGGTTAATTTTTTGCTGAGTACAGTCATCCAGGAATAACATACACAACTCTTATTTTAATGGCTATGCAGTATGACTATGTCACATTATATAATAGGGGGTGTACTATAAGTTTAACTGTATTATTATGACTTTGTCAAGTGCTCCACAAACCAGAGAAAAACTTTTGTATTTTCCCTAAGATGTGAAAATATATTTAAGAAAAATAGGGTGGTGGCGGCAAACACCTTTAATCCCAGCACTTGGGAGACAAGGGCAGGTGATCTCTGTGAGTTTGAGGCCAGCCTGGTCTAAAAAGATACACAGAGAAATCCTGTCTCAAAAAAAAAAAAAAAAAAAAAAAAAAAAAAAAGGGTAGGAAACAAAATACAATTAAGAAAAATAGCTACATAGCTACTTCTGTGCAGAAATGAACATTTATTTTTTAATGTTTTTATCTTATTTTTGACCTCTATTGTATGTATGGGTGCTTTACCTGCATGTATGTTGTATGTCTGTGCACTATTTGCATGGCTAGTGTCCACAGAGGCCAGAAGAAGGTGTTGAATTTCCTAAAACTAGGGCTGTGAGCTGCCATGTGGGTTCAGGGAACTGAACCTGGGTTCTCTGCAGGAGCAGTAAGTGCTCTCTCCTGGTAGTTGAGCCATCTCTCCAGCCAACTGCTCTCAAGTGCGTATAACATTAACATAGGGCCAAAATCTGTATCAAAACATTTCACAAAAATAAAAGTTCTGAAAACAGATTGTTCTTCATATGACTAAGGAAATGCCAATACTTAGAAGTGCTGTAGAAATGAGAAGATTCCTAATTAGATACTGAACTTTGTTAGATCCAAGATAGCCAATAGCTGGGATAATAGTGGATGAGCCACATGTCATGGTTTGGTGTGAACAATCCTTTCTACTCCTGCCACTGCCCCACCTCATTTGTGGTGCTCCCTAAAGAAAAAAAAAAAAAAGAAAGAAAGAAAAAGAAAAAGAAGGGAGGGAGGGAGGGTAGGGAGGGGCTCCTTTAGAGCTTGTAAAAACCATAAATTGTGGACATCTAGGACCAAAATTTTGATTAAGCAAGTCAGGAAAAAATACTTCACTTTAGCTCATTCTATTAGTCAGTCTAGGCCACAAACATTCAGCAGGAGTCAATCAGGGTGGCAGATATTTTCAACAGAGGATTATTCATCTAACTTTTAGGTTAAGCATGTGTAGTATTAGTATGTCTATCTGTCAAACTATATCAACATATTAAAAACAGCAGTAGCCTAAAAAAGCAATTTCAATTTATAATTTCATAATGCAAGAATAGGCTGTGGTCTCAATTATGAATTCAGATAAATAAACACACAATGTGACAAAAGCCATTTTTGTTAGTAATACCAAAGAAATGACATTCTGAGTTTACTATGACTGGTAAAGCAAACATTAAGCATGGAGATGGATCAGAAGTGATTTTAGGGCTGGAGAGATGGCCCAGCCGTTAAAGGCTAGGCTCACAACCAAAAATATAACAAGTGATTTTAATGATGATAACCAAGGAGCAATGATGGTTATCTTTTAAAAATACAATGGCAAATGTGAGACTTTAAAATAGGGCACTGGCTAACACAAAACTAAACGTCACTTCTTAGTTTTCTACCAAAGTCTTATAAATGAAACCAGAACTTTAACAGGACGTTTACCTAAAACTGTAATTATGCACATAAAATGGGAGAAAAACATTATGTAGTTATGCAAGTTTGTGCAAAAAGAAGTATACACATCTATAAAACTATATTACTTGAAATTAAAAAGTAATTTCCAGAAGACATAGAATTTGATATGGTAGGTTTTTAAGAACTCATAAAGTATGACTAGAAATATAAAAGTTGAAGGGTTTTTCACCTATGGCTTATGTTGGTTCTACTTACTGACAACATGAAATATAGAATGTTTTTATTGTAGTGAAATTAACAATAATTCAGCCTTTTTTATATGAGGCTATAAAAGGAAGATGCATTTTCAAAGTGAAAGAAATATTCCTGTATGGCCATAGCTTCTCTTTCTCACATATGTGTATATCTGAATTTGTGGCACCAGCAACCTAATTACTACTAAGTTTTCCTAGTCTATTATCTTAAAAGTATGGATTTTTCAACTCTCACAGGTGAAATTTCCTGAATAAAAATTAAATATAACAGCACTGAATAAACTGTTTAAAAAAAAGTCCAAGAACCACAAATATTTACTATCCTCTTAAGGGCACACCAGTAAGAAAGTATCTTTCAAAGAGACTAGTCTGCAAACCACACATGGAAAACCTTTCCACTTGGGTGCAAAACTACGATCATACCCTGAGCACTCTGCTGACAAGCAGCAGCAATCACCCAACTCCAGTTCTCATAAGGGACAATTGCTATGGTGGTGACATTTGCTTCTTTACCACTGATGCCCCTACTATTTAAAAAGCATATACAACTATCTCAAGAAAAGTGCTTCTCAATAATTCACTTGCCAAATCCACTTGTATCATTATTTAAGAAGGAATTTCAAAACGGTAAGGTGAAAAGACAAAATTAATATTTTCGTTAGAGAGGGAACCTACAATGTATCTAAAAAAAGTTAGTAACACATAATAATTTCAGCCTCTAAGGTGACGACATTAACTACTCAATTACCAAAACTTTCTAAAGAGTTTTAAGCATCTGTCAAGAGTGAATACACAGACTTCACTAGTTGGACAAATTCCAATCAAGAAATAAAATTGCACTTTTACTCACAAAATATCCCTGGTTCCCTCCCAGGCATCATGTACTCAATCACTATCATATGCTGCCTTAGGTACTATCAGAAAAACAAAACAAAACAAAACAAAATAGAACAACACTCCCCTCCCTGAAAAACAAGCAAACAAACCAAAAAACCAAAACAAAACAAAATTCAAACTCTGAGATTCAAGCACTAGATATATAGCTCAGTGGTAGAGAGTATGCTAATACAAGACCTTTGGTTCAATCTCTAGAACAGCAAATAATAAAGCATTAAGAGTCCAGCCAATGATCGCCCCCCTCCTCTTTGGGGGTCCAGGAATTGTTCTGGGGCTGTGGCATGCCAGTCAAGTGCCCTACCACCAAGCTATAATAATTCCTAGACCTAGCCTAAAAGAGTTAACAAAAACTACAACTGAGGCTAGCAATATGGCTCAGTGGGTAGGGTACCTGCTATGCAGTCCTGACAATCTGAGTTTCAACTCTGGAACACACTGAGGTGCAAGGAGAGACTTGATTTAATACACAGCTGCTCTCTGAACTCTGTGCATACACCACCCCATCATACACAATAATAAAATAAAAATTTCAAAATCACAACTAATCAAAAATTTCTAGGTGTAATCTAGTTTAAATGTATATTATGTGTATTAGAGGTAAAGTCTTAGTTAGGCCAAAAATATTAAAGCTTATTCTGTTAAAATGCTTTAAATGTAATAAAATGTTGTCTACAGATCTAAACGTTTAAATGCAAATCATCTTTTAACCCTGTAAGCATTGCCTCAGAAATAGATAAAACAAAGTTTGGATGGTATTGTAAAAAAAACAAAACAAAACAAAAAAAACCAACACAGATTAGAATTAGGCATTAAATTTAATAATAATTAGTCTTGAATGTTAGTTTTAAGGTTAAAAAAATTAAGTGTTAAATAGTGACAATAGAGTAAATTTAGGTATTCTGCAAAACTATAATCTTTTATCAAAAATAATAAAAAACTTTTCCACTTAGCCACCAATGAAGAATGTTAGGAATAAAGTATACACATTAAAAAAAAAAAAAAAAAAAAACCCACAGAATTAACAAGGCAATTTTGAATATATTTATTTAGTATGAAAGGAATTTAAAACTTAATTTATGACATTTAGACATATAGAAATGGTAATGGTTTGATTAATTACAGAAATCACATTTGAAACATGCCACATGTTTTCTTTCAAGTGACTCTGATATCAAAGTAATATTAAATGTTTAAAGTGTGGTTCATAGTGCTGAGAACAGAAATTCTACTTCAAAGCTATTTTCAAAAAATTTAAAGGCTTAAAATTTATTAAATACTGCCTATTGAAAAAAATGTTGATCAGAAAGTATTACTTCTGATACATTAGGCCTTACTTGAAGAAAACTAATACAAATAAATTAGGAATATTTGTTACTTTTAGAAAACCACAAAATACATATAAGGAACTGCTTCAAATAAACAATTACAATGTACAATGTTTGTTAATTGTGTCTTTTATTTAGCAAATCTTTGCAATACTTTAAAATGTCTATCAAAGAAAACTTGATTCCACTGACAAATATCTTAAAATATAAGTCATATTTATGAAGTTGTATTATATAATCACAGATGTTAAATTACCCAATCCTAGTTTATTAAAGTATTCTTTTTACCCTAAGATAAATACTTCAGTAAGACATAAACAATGATAGCAAAACTGTACTTTAAGGGCAAAGGGCAATTATTTTTTCTGGAGCCCTGATTATGTCTTTAACTGCAAGTATAAATATTACACTCAAAATATAATTCTATCACTGGGAAAAAATTTTAATTAAGAAATTTAAATCAACACAATAAATATCTTTCTTCAAATTCTTACCTAATAAACTATGTATTAAAGGAGAATGGGAGAGATTCGCAAATTTGAGGTATTTCATGTCCTTGAAAGGGTGGTTAAAGGACACCTTATCACACATAACTGTAACAGTTTTCATTATTTAGCCAAGTTAAGGTTTCTTACTCTATAAGAAGTAAACAAAAAACTTTTAACATCTATACTAATGCTTTTAGATACTAAATTATTTAACAAGCTAAATTCATATGTTAATAAGCCATTTTATAATTGTAGAGAGAAAAATCACATGATAATGTCAAATATTTGTGTTCAGTAAATTCTGAAACTCAGGTATCATAAATTTTGAACTCTACTTTTAGAACAACTGTGCATTTAAATCTTTATCTATACTATAAACTCATATATTGCTTTCTCCCTCATTTAACTTATTAAAGCTCTGTCAATTATCTGGGTTAAAAGTGGCAAATTAAACTTCAAATTTTTTGTTTCAGACTCCATTTTCATATCAATATTAAGATAGAAAGGAGAAAATTTTATTCATTTTGCATCCATTAAAACTGTTTTGTTATAACATTTAAGATCAAACTTATATATACTGTGTATCTGAAAAAAAATCACCAAGACATCAATGTAACATAAAGTACCAGAATTCACCCTTATTTAAACTCTGATTTCTATTTCATCTCAACTATTAACAGATATGCGTCTGGCTTGTCTATTTTATAATATAAAACTACCAAATTCCAGCATTTTAGTATTTTAATATTTATCTCAATATTCTAGCATTCTTAAACACACCTGGGAATTTGTTCTAAAATGTTTATATTGGTTAAAGTTAAAAGCAGTTTTATGAGCACGAAAATTATAATTTGCTCTTAAGATTAAGTTACACTTCTTAAGAAAACAAGTCTTTGTGATTTTCTATTTGTTACTTACATATTTTTAGTTAAAAGAATCTAAAGAAAATTAGTTATATTTTAGCAACTCTCATTCTATTTAGCAGATATTACTAAAACTTATGGCTAACACTTTACTAGAAAAAAAACTAGCCAAGTAATATTTAGTAATAATGTTCAGTAAATTCACCTTTATTATATCAAATTACCATCTAGGAAACAAAAATTGTTTAAGCTGAATATTATCTGAAATGCTCAACTAAAACTATAAAAATAAAGTAAAATAAACATTAGAAAAATGGTCTATGATAAGTATTTTGGAGGTTAAGACAATAGTCAACAGAAGTTTAAGCAATCTATAATTTTATCATTAGACTGCTATAACTTTTGATATTAACAATGTTCTGAGTATCTGTGAGTAAGATACATGTTTCTGCTTAAGAAAGTAGGTTTCTCAGTTTCAACCAAACTGTGACTTTTGGTTAGGAGAGCACTTAGAATACTTCAGCTTTTCTTAAAATATTTTCATTAATCTTATCTAATTTTTACGCTCTATCTACTTCCCCACTTGTCAAACAGCCAAGCACCAAATTCCACTTGACTTAAACACTTCATTTTGTAAGAATAAAGTCCACTACATAATTAAATACCTTACATAGCACACTGTAGTAACACCTTTAGGAAAAAGGAAAATAAAACATCATGTATACTTTGGTAAGGGGCGGGGGTAGGGGGATGATAATAAATTCAGGTGAATCTATTATAGCACTATAAAAACATCTAATATATTGTTAAACATCTGAATTTTAAGAAGCAAGAAGCCAATTTACAAGATTTCTGTTTATTCTTTACTTGTTGATTTTAGATCACTTAAATGTTTTAGCATTACTATTAAGTCCAATTACATTACAAAGATATATTTTGAAAATGTACTAGTACAAAGCAGACACATTGACATATATTTACAATATCAGCACTAAGGATAAGGCCAGGGCAGGAAAATAAGTAGTGTCAGGACAGTTTCAGGCTGGTTGTAGAGTTAAAACTCTGACTTAAAACAAAAAACAAAAAACCACATTAGTATACCTTAATCCTCTATCCTGTTCCAATGCATTACGCCAGCATTCAGTCAAAGAAACTTAGGTTGTTTTCCAGAATTGGTTCTCTTCTAAAGGTTAAAATCTGCAATAAAAATGTCATGTATTATTATATGAAGACACTCAACAGATAGAAATATCTCTTATAGTTCTAGTTGATCTCTGAACAGAGTTAAATCTTGCAAATAACCCCGTCTTGCAAAGCTTAAAGTACATCTACTATGAAAATGTTTTTCGAACAGAAAATAACTTGATTAAGAACACCTGCGATATGCATTATCACCCAAAGCCTCTTCAAGCAAATCAGATAAGTTTCTGCTTTCATTTCTCTTCATTTCCAAAGCAGCATAGATTAGTATGCATTATGTAGGCAGCTTTGAAAGGACTAAGGAAGATTATAAAAAATATTCTTTGTTTCTAAAGCCCATATAGCTTAAAAATTATGCAAGGGATATGGATAAAATTTGACTAATTTTCCCCTAAAATTACTAAATGTATCAATTATGACAGTTACCATTATTCTCTACTTCAGTCTTGCTATACCTGACTGAACATTTCCAAATATTTTAATATTACAGTTCTAACCAATTTAAAAAATTTAAAATGGACCACTACTAGTCTTTTAATGCTTCCAAATAGAGGTGAAATGCAACTTCATTTTTTTCCCCCCATCTGTTTCACCTTTCTGGATCTTAATGACTTAACTGACAACAAGTACATTAAAATATCAAATTATTAAATTACCAGAGGGATAAATGTACTGCATATGAGTCATAATGCTTTGGGGGAGTTTTCTACTTTTACTTAAGAATGGCTGATGAAAGAAAGAATGAAAACCAAAAGCCCCTTTATTCCTGTTGCTAAATTTTGTTTAATGGGAAAAAATAAAAACTCCACGTCATCTTATGTCTAAGAAACATCAGTTCAAGTTATCTTATCTTGAAAAATTATAGACATTTTTCCATATTTTTCGAAAGATAAAGATTTTTTAAATATTTGAGTGCCTTGAAATATAGGATCACAAATTTAAAATACAAACAAAATGACAGGAACTCAAATGTTAACTTTTAATATAATAATATATGTTTTGAAATAGTGTAAAACTACTATATACAAAAGAGGTTTGGGTATAAAATCTAATGTATATGACTAAAAGAAAAAGTAAAACTCAAATTTATTACAGTTTATTATTTATGCTTCGAAAATATCACAAATCTTTCCTGTGTAATTTTTCTTTGGTGAAATAAGATGGGTTTAAATAAAAACACGCTAAACTCACAACTTCAAAAAAATTGTTAAAACACACACACACATACACACACACATTTACTATTAATTAACTACATTATCTGAAATCTTTCTCAAAGTCATTTAAAGCATCTTTTATATAGGCAAGAAAAATAAGCAAAGACATTACCTACACAAAAGTGTTGTTTATATAATTTATGAGCATTTGTACACACTAACAACCAGATATTATATATTAGTAATATATTTTAAAATAGACATCATGCTTAAGACAAACTATCAGTTTTAAAGTTCTAATACTGTAACCTCTTAAAATAAAACGCTTAATTTCATTTTCAACACTTAGTTGAAATAAAGTGGTATTTTATTAGTGATTTCCTTTGGTTTTATGACATTTGAGACCACAAAGTTACAGCAAGTCCTAGTTTGAAATCTAATTACATACCAAAATTAATTGCAAAGCATACAGTGCTTCTATGTTTGTGCAGTTAAAAAATAAAAAGGACAAACTATGTATAGCCTTACAAGTTTTTCTAAAATATGTTGTCCTAATTATAATCATGTTAATTATTTGTTTCTCATAAAAGGGGTTAAAAAGAAATCAATGTAGAGATTAAGTGTCATTTAAACAAAAGAAAATAAAAAAGACAAAAGTATCTTTAAGGTCGGAAACATTTTAAGACTTGAGATGAATTTTTATGAAATTTCCATAACTGTAGCTTTATAATCTAATTGTTAAAAGCTTATTGAAGAAATATTTTTTTCTTTCTGTAAACTCAATCAGCTGACCAGAAGTTCTATACTGAAGGTTTTTTCAACATTCTTAATAGTTACTACACATAAACACCTGAATAATAGAAATAAAACTGTACACAGACTTCATGAAACCAAAACTAAAAGATAGCACATAAAGGAGAAGGAAACATGGAATCTGGAATGTGAACACTGCTTTGAAATTTTTATTCTTAGGTGTGGTTCCTGATAAACATTAAAACATATACTAGTCTAATTGAACACAAAAACCTTAGGCTATATTTTCTAAATGTACATTGAAGACAACAGGTTTTTTCTAAATCGTCTAAAATTAGACTTTTAATTGTAAACAGTGTAAACAACAAACAAATGAAAATAAATGCTACCAGAGAAACTGGTACTTTTGTTCCCTCTCCCCTACAGTATGTAAATGTAGCGCCAGGAGAACTATGATGGCAGTACCATTCTCCAGTGCTGTTTTCCTGTGGTAATAAATGACTTTTGCAGCCTTCACAACAGAATAAAAAATGAGAATAATCAGTTTCTTTAGAAAAACACAGATAACTGCATTTAAACATTTAAATAAGTAAGTATATTCCTACTGGAATTGTCCCTCCTGTCTAGCATTATATAAGACAGAAATATTTTGAATGTTATGAAATTTATTTAGCTGCTGGTATGTTCTAAAGCTTTAAGTGAATTAGTTTAAATAAAGGCCCAATCACTTCTTTCAAAACGTTGGTAAAACAAAAACAGAAGGAAAAAAAAACCCTTCATTCAAAACACCCTCAAAACAAAAAAATCTTATAAACCAAAGAAGTGCCAAAAAAATTATGGTTTTGTGAAATTTAAACCTTTCCCCACTCTCATAATTCTCTCCCGGCTACATAATTTGAATAAAAATTAAAATTCATAAACCAACAGTGAAAAGCAAAACTCATTAGCATTGGCACTTTAGATATAATTACATGTAGAATAGAAACGAGATCTACAATTTTATTAAATCAAATTTTACAGATAATTTTATGAAAAGATTCAAAATAAACAGATTTAGAAAAAAAGGATTGTGGGTCCAGTAATAATTATTATGAAAGTAATAATTATTATGGAATTAATACAAAATAGAACATACTTATTAACAGAAATTAAAATGTTTTCATTTGGATATTTCTAATAATGTATACTTGTCTTAAAGTGAAAATAGAAACCATGTCTCAACATTTCAATTATTTATAAAATATAAAAATTTAAAACTTCCCTTCAAAATCATCTACTCTTTTAAAACCACAGTTATCAAGATGCAACTAAAAGGAATGACAAGCAAGGGAGTAAATACTGACTGGCTGTTTCAAGCAACACCAAACAAAAACTAACTGAAACCAACCAAATAAAGCAACACAAATGGGCTCCTGTATACGACACACTTCCTCATAACGAATTTGTCAGAGGAAAAATAATCTATCATACAAGCTCATCTGTGTATACTTACCTGTTATATTAGTAATGAAGAAACATTAATGTCTTGTAAATTAAAAATGTCAAACCACTGCAATGGCTGAGTTAGGAAAACATTTTAAAACAGTGTTGCAAAGTATTAAGAATATACTCAATTTTTATGAAAAATGTAGAACAGATAATTTGAAGTTTATTTTCAACAAAATTAAAGGAACAATTTTCCCATAATCTTCATCCAATAAATACATGAAGGCTAAGATGAAAAATTTCTATCAAAGGAAAAAACAAACAGCTTAGATCCTTTGGCACAGTTTTCAACCAATGAAGAACAGAGAGAAATAGATCTTGTGAACTGCAAGAGCAGAAAGTTTTCTGAAAATTGCTTCTTTAGTTTTACTTTTTAATACACATCTCGGAACCATATGAAAGGCTCTTATGTAAGAAACAACCCTATCGGGCACCAACTTTGTAAAAAACAAAACAAAACAAAACCCAAAAACCAAAAAAATCTTCATTTTACTTTCCTGTATCAATCTGAGTAGTTCTCTGAGCAAACAGTTTTTCCGTAGGTGGAGAATTATCAGATCCTCCGTCCACATTCAAACCCCCCAGTCCCGCTTCCTTCCAGCCAATCAGGGGGTAAGAAGTGCGGCATTGGGGAGCTCCGTTAGACACGATTTGAAAAACATCACATTGAGCTCTTAACTCTCCTGGAAAGGATCTAAATGAGGGCGGGTCCCCAGTCTTCACAGACAGACACCAAATCCTGGGTTCTGATCCAATTCCACCGGGAGAAAGCTCTGCAGGGGGCCTGCCCGGAACGGAAAGAGGTTTCCAGGGAGCCTTACTCCTCTCTGCAATTAACTCAGTAGCTGCTGCAAAAGCATCTCCAGAATGTTCGGAACCCTGATTCGTGCGACCCTGAGGTAGAATGTCACATTAGCTCAGCGGCGAAGGGTTAATCTAGGGGTGCTGTAAGGGAGGGAAGGGATCAAGATCTCCCGGGGGTTTAATGTGGGCTCTTCACAAAGCCTAGTGCCAGCAGAATACCTACACTCAAAGCTGTCACGGGCTTCTCCAAGAGTTGTCGACTCCGGGTTGACAAAAAGCCAACTAGGGAAAAAGAAAGCCCTAAAGGGAACCAACCCCGCTTTCTTCCGCCTCAGCGTCAAGAGTTCCCAGGAAAAGGTGAGAACTGCAGAAATGACCGTTAAGTCGTCGGAGCAAAGGCTTGTCCGCAGGAGACAGCGAGTTTCACACTACTTTTCCTTGGGACGCGCGTTTCAAGGACCGGGTGAGGGAAGTGTCCCAAGCGCGCGACGGAAGGGAATTGCAAGCTCGAAGCCCCCATCTTTCCTTTCACCCTAACATCCTCCCCCCGAGAGAGACACAGAGAGACAGAGAGGGAGGGTACCGCCGGGAGAGCAACGACAAAATGACCGAGCTAGCTAGTGTCCAGCATCTATCTGTCCGCCGCGTCCCGACCCCGGGCCGGGCCGCCTCTCCCCGGCGCTCCGCCGCGCACACCGGGCACCGCGGGCAGACGCCCCTCCCGCGCCCGCCCGCCCGCCCGCCCCGAGCCCGAGGGGCGCTCCTGTCAGGGAGCCGCGAGCGAGTCGACGGCGCGCG